AAATAAGGAGATTTACAAACTAACAGAGGAACTGATCAGGGAATTCTGCCAAAACACCCTTAGCAGCACAAAGATCTAATCCTTCGTACTAAAATAACTGGGAAATAATTGCTCTTCATTTTGTAAAAATAAACTTTCTAGATCAAGTCCTTAGATGGAGTTCCCACACCCACTCATCCAGCGCAAAACCCCGGGGTCAGGTGAGGGGAATTCCTGTTACACAAAGACAAGGCCAGGAGATGGTGTGGTAGAGTGTGCAGAGCAGCCAGCTCCAAGGTGAGGTTCTGTAAGATCCATGCAATGTACATGTAATTGATAAATATATGCATAGGTTTATACATAAATACGTAACTATGAATCCGTACTGATTTAAATGCATGCATATTTAAATACATGTAAGCGTATACTTAAATATATGTACATGTTTACATATACATGCACACCCACACACAGTGAGTACTAAGATTTTCTTTGCTGAAAGGAATGCGTGCTCATAGGTGTTTGGAGACCCCTGGGTTGAAGATTGGGCTTTAGCGTCTTCCCTGCCCAAAACATGTAAAAATGGGAAAATGAGAGTACCTCTTAGGGTTGTAGCAAAGCTTCAGAAAGTATTAGACAGAGTGCTTGGTGAGTTTTCCTGCTGCTTGGCAAGCTTCCTCAGCACGCAACTCGCATCTGTCGTGGGCATAGGTATCCCCCGGACCTGGGACGAGGCCTGGGCAAAACAGGTGCTTTACGGAGACATGTTCAATGGATGGATGGCGGTCAGTCAGTATATGCAACTGCTTTCGCATTAGCGTAACTCCACCTGTGTCTGTGCTGCACGAGTCGCAGCAGTGGAGTGCAATGAAGTGATAATGGCATCGCGATTGATTTGCACCCTGTATAAAAGTAGGTAAATCATTCACAGACTCAGGTAGCCTACTTTTAGTAACACATGATTTGCAACGCACCCCACAAGTGATGGTGATTCACCAACGTATTGTCCGTTATGCATGGAGAGGATGAAACGCATGCATCTGTGGGTATGAACCAACTGCAATTACCAAACTCAATTACCCCTCGTGACCTAATCTGATTGGGTTCCTTCATGAGACCTGTTCCTATGAATCACTATATTAACACTGCTTCTTTATAAAACCCAAAAGGGGAGAAGGAGAGAAAAGCGAATGTGGCGTGTAAGAACAGAAGAGATCTAGGTTAAACAAAGGGAGACTCTCTCGACAGTGAGAGTCATTAAATTCAATCTCGCTGCCATTAAAGGAAACATTAGTTTCTGTGTCTGGATCTGCTTTCTCTCCCGAGCAGGGGTCCAATGACTGTTACCTATAGCTCTTCTCCAAAATTCTATCATGATATTAGCTTTTCTTCCTCCCCTCAGGGCACGCTATTTTTCCCTGATAAGTTTCCACGATAAGAACATGCTTATCGATGCTTCTGACAAACAGTTCAGACTCCAAATTCCTCAGCCACGTCTCTGCCACGTCTCTGCCACAGAGCCACTCTCGGGCAATGTTAAGCCCTCCCTTGGAGCAGTGTATTCATCTCTCTCTTGCTCCTTTCCTCCCCCCACCCCCCAAACCAATTCGTCATCTTTCTGGTAACTTCAGAGCTTTGCAGGCCTGTCAACTTGAGATTGCAGCTGAGGCCACCAGGTTGTATCGGTGCCAAAAGGAGAGCTGGCCTATGGCTGGTGTTTCCTGCGGTAACAGCGGAGTACAGAGAAGCCTTGAGCAAAAAATAAACATGGGCAGACTACTTCCCACTATCTTGGGAGGATGTGAAATAGCTAAGATCGTCCTTCACCCGGGAGTCACAAAGAGCTTATCTGGAACACGGAGAGCCCAACGCGGTTGAAGTCCAAATGAACTGTTACCACGGAGGAAGATAACAAATGCTCTCTTACTTTCTATAATTCAACCACTTCTGTTCTCAGGGAAGATGAAGTAATGAGGAAAAGGCTGTCCTTGATACTCCTGAGCGAGCCAGGACTGTGTCTGCCCTCCAGTTCCCAGGGGACTTCGCCCTACTGGAGGGGATTGTGTTATTTGGTGCTTCCCTGCAGGAAAGGCAGTGAGGGATGGGTCACCAACCTGTGGCCTTTCTGCGTCCAGCACACTGACTCACTCTGCCACTACACGGACCCCGGGCAGCTGTGGAATTAAAGGGCACAGGAGGGACTGAGTCAGACTCTCTGGGTCCTACTAATCAGACTCTGTCAACCTTAATATTTTATGCAAGACAGTATGCACCACTCTTGTTCCTAAAACAGGAACAGTGGTTCCCTCCCGCGGCCCCTGCACGTTTCCAGGCAGATTAAATGATGTGCCTGGGATTCAGTAAGAGGCTTTTGAAATATCTGTGGGCTCTCTGGAGGGACTTGGATTTTTTTAGGGCTAATTCTGAGCTTTTTAAAAAATTTTTAATTTTTTCCTTCAACCCCAGAGGTTTGTACTGGGGTATCATAACATCTTTTCTTTGAGCCTTATCCCTTGTGCCTTGTCATAGAACTGAGAGTTCTATATCTTTTACATATTATCAAGAAAAACAAGTAATTCTCCTCTTAAAGACATTTACACTCTACTCCATCTTTTTTATGAATTGATTTGAGAGAGAGAGAAACATCGATTTGTTGTTCCACTTATTGATACATTCATTGGTTGACTCTTGTATGTGCCCTGACCAGGGACTGAACCTGTAACCTTGATGTATTAGGACAATGCTCCACCCAACTGAGCTAGCCGGCCAGGGTTCATCCTCTTTAAAAACACAACACACGGTTACTCTGCCTGTGTGGGATCTGTATTCTAGGCCGCTCTGATAAAGCTCGCCCTTCCGGCTTTTGCCCAAAGCCCCAGTCAGCATGCCACTGTCCCAGCCAAAAGAATTACGTTACTGCCCCAAAGGGCCTTGAAATGTTGACCATCGCACCCATGTTCTGAACATCCCTCTTAGACACTGCATTAGTTTTCAGGGATTGTCCTAACAAAGCACCACCAACTGAGGGCTCAACCAGCGAGAATGTGCTGTCTCTCGGGCCTGGAGCCTTGAAGTCTGAGATGAAGGTGTTGCGGGGCCCAGTGCCTCCAAAGGCACGCGGAACGACCTGTTCTAGGTCTCCCTCCTACCTTCTGGTAGTTGCTTGGCAAGCGGTCACCTAACTCCAGGCTTCACCTGGCATTCTTCTTGCGTCTCTGTGTGTGTCTGTGACAAGATTTCCCCTTTTTATAATAAGGAGAACTAGCCATATTGGATTAGGCCCACTGTACTCCAGTACGACCACATCTGAGTGAATTGCACCAGTATTAGTCATATTTCAAAATAAGTGCTGGGGGAAAGACTTCCACGAACGGACTTTGAGGAGACACAGTTTAACCTGTAACTTCCTCCTCTTACAAATGTGTCCTGCACATGGCAGCTCTCCAACCTCGGCTTCTCCTCCACACCCAGCCTTGGGTCCCCCCAAAATGACCTGAACCTGCCTGAACCTGCCAGTCTCTGGCCTCCACGGGATGAGGGTCCCCATGACCTCCATGGTATCTGCTGACAGACCAATAGTGGTGCTCACTTAGTGGACATCCCGCCATCTGCAAGGTACTTTATGTCTGTTATTCTAAGCCTCACCAACGCGAACAATACACTCATCTTTAAGGTGAAGAAAGGGACGGAGGAAGTGAAGTGATACAGACAAACCTCACTAGCAAGGAGCAGCGGGAGGAGATTTGAGTTCAGCGTTTCCGGTGCAAAGCCCTGTCTTGGTCCACTCTACCTGGTGTCGTAGGGAATGCCGATAGACAATATTCTGGCCAAGTCACAACGATCAACTCAACTTTTCTTCTGCTGGAATCCATGGTCATTGTATTCAGAGGGGAAAAGTTATAAAGACCATTTGATTTTTTAACCGACATTATTAAGCAGCTGCCCAGACCTGTGGTTCTAGTGTGGGTGAGAGAGAGAGCGGAACAGACATGGGTTTGCTAGTCTTCTTGAACAGCTGTGGGGAAAAAAAAACAATCCGAGAACAGAAGGCCACACGTCTTCAACTGACTTTAAGTCCTGCCTCCCCCGTGGACCAGCTGTGTGGTCCTGCACAAATTCTAGCGCTTCCCTGTGCCTCCATTTCCTTATCATTAAATAGCTTTAACTGGGTCTCTCTCACAGGCCGGGGGAGGGTTCAATGAGATGGGAATAAAGAGAATCTGGCCTACAGCACACCCCTGATAACTGTCTGTTCTCTCCCTCCCTTCCCTCACTTTGGACGTGTTCTGTGTGTGTCTTTCTCACAGCATCATCCACAGTAGGTCGAACATTGCATTTGCTGTAATAAAAATTGTCCCTGGTGGGAGAACCATGAATTAAAAGTAGGCAAAGAGGGTATCCTAAGCCCATGAGGAAGCGGAAAGGAGGTGGTGTCTGAATGCTTAAAGTAACTTCTTGGTTTAGCTGCCAATCCATCGCACTAGGTTTTAAGGCATTAATTCAAAGGTCACAGCAGTGCAACTAGTCATTCCATTGGGAAATAAAGCTTTATTTCAAAAATAAGAAATAAATCCCGGCATTTAAAAATACAGGCAGGTAAGAGATAGGGCTCTAGAAAGAGCTACGAAGACAAAAAGGGAAATGGAAATAATAGGGTTTTAGTCCCGGATCTGACAAGAAATGACGAGTAAAACTACTCCGCCTTCCGTTTGCTCATTGGTAAAACCCCGGTGATTCTTTTAGATTCTCAGTGCATGTTCTGTTCAGAAAAGAGTGTTGTAAATGCTGGGTGGCTGGCTTTTGCTTGAAGAACACAAACTAAATGAAACACTGGACATGGACCAGAGGCTTAGAAAAGCTTAATACCTTTTATTCTGGCATCCATCTGAGAGTCTTTGTAGTTTCCTCCTTTAAAAAAAAAAAATCTCCCCTGACTTTATTTCTGTTTCCTTTATCTGTTGATATTATGATTTTTTTTTCCTTCTCCTTTGCTTTCTTTTGATTGAAATTTATTTTTCTATCCTCCATCTCGGTTAATCAGCTGGTCCCAACATGAAACTGAAACATGATCGAAAATATTTATATTTTACAAAATGTTGGAGGATGTTTGCTTCATTTCTTAAGTTTAAAATGAGATGAGTTAAGCATTTCATATTTCTCTTCAAAAGCTCAATTAATTATCATCATCACTCTTTATAGTGCACTGATTTTTTTCCTACTGATATATATACTGCAATGGCAGGGGAAAGAAAGGAAGAGGTTGGCCTTGGCGGAGGTCACACCTGGGAAAGGGCAGGGGCTTAGTTAGAAGCGGCCTGTGGATGGACTGCATTTTCCTTCCTTTTATATTTTCATTATTAAAATGGGGATGGTTTCTTGACCGTACAAGAAAAAAATTCCTCTGAAGGATTTTTTACTAAGTATACATTTAGAGAGATAATTTTCAAAGTATACATTTTAAGAGAAGTCATGATTTTCTAAGAAAACAAACAAACCAAAAAATAAATGTTATAAATCTGAAAACAAAATAGCTGGAATGATCTTCATTTTTGTTATGACTACTTCGCAATCCAAAGGCACACTGAGACCCATCACTGAAGCTCGCACGCAGGGCAGGCCAGCCCCTCCTGTTCGGTTTTCCATAGGAAAGATGGAAATTTAACTTTTCTCTTTGTCCTTCACAGTTTTGGAAGCCACTGGGCTTTCGAAATCAGCGACCTCGATCATTCCTGCTCCCAAGCTTCGTTGATGCTTTTTTTTGTCTCTAGGACACGTCTCCGGTCCTAGGCTCCCAGCCCCCAGCACAGTTCTGTTCTTCTAGACAATGGCGGCTCCTCTTTCCGGGTGAACCATCTTCTCTTTGACGCCCGAGTCTAAGATGAAATTGGCTATTTAACGTGATCCACAGGCTCCTTGAGCACCTCTCACGGGCCGGGCACTCACCTCTCCACGAGCTCCCGCACTCTCCAGGTTTCTAGCAGCGCATTTGCGATGCTTCCATGTCCTTCATCATCTAAGTCACACCAGATCCTTCTCCTCCTGTTGGGCAGCCTAGGTGGAGGGCAGGGCCGGGCACACTCACTTCTTGGTGTTGCCACACAAGGCCTGCTTGGAGGAGAGGCGCAGTCAGTCGACCAAGCGAACACATAGGTTTCTCTGAGCTTGGGGAGGAGGCTTCATAGAAACACAGTCACAGTGGAGATAATCATTCAAAGTTGTGGCAACAGATGAATGAGCGGGGAAACAAGTGTGTTAGCTCATGACAGTGATGAAAGGGAGTGAGAAGAGGGTAAGCAGCCCCCAGGGGGACGGAAACGCCAAGCTGTGGGGCCTTCAGTCATTCTGCATCAGCCCAGGTCAGATGTGAGGAGCTTCAACTTCTTGATAAGGAGAATGAAGCAGCATAATAGTACCATCCTCGTAATGGCTAACCCTAGGTGCCAAGTACTGTCTCAAGTGCTTTCGGTGAATTAACTTACTTGAATACCTCAAACAGTCTACAAGGGCTACCAATAGCCCTGAGCCGCAGAGCGGTGGCCCTGGTCACACAGCCAGTGTCCTGGTCTGTCACACAGCTCGTAAGGGGAAGGCGCAGAGTCTGAACTCAGGCTCCAAGCTTTGTCGAGTAGCCGCAGTGCTCTGCAAGGACTATGTTTCCGTGCTGGTGCACCGTGGGAAACATGATGCAGGGAGCCAGTATGCACAGAAATCACAGAGTCTGGAAAGGCTCGGTGACCCACTTGGAAAGAAAGGACTGGCTACGTGCAGGGTACACGGGAGCTGGTCTCATTCCCCATCACACACACACGGTGGTACCGCCTTCTTTAACCCCCTCTCACACGCCAATCTCTCCCAGAACTGGTGCCACTGGGAATGTGCCAGTGACCAGCTTCACTAGACAACAGCAGCTGGAGAACCTGACCAAATACCACTTTGGGTTTCTTACCTTACACACTTGGGTTATCCATACGGGGTGCTGAGGGGGCAGCGAGGAAGACGGGGTCCGCTGCGGTGGCCGAGCGGGACCTGTGTGCTGCGAGGCCTGCAGCCCCTCGGAGAACAGCTGGTCCGGACTGTCTCGTGCTCTTTCTCTAGTGCCGCCCGGCCGGCCTCACACCATCGTGCTTTTCTTCCCCAGCGGAGCGGGATTTCCAAAATGCAGGCTGGGGCCCCTGCCCCAGGGGTCCCTGGGGGCGCTCTGCTGCATCACCACCAAGCGGAAGGAGGGCTGGGAGTCCAGAGGGGCCTCGGGTGTGTACTCCTTACTGGGGTCCTTGCCGCGGCAGTCATACAGCATGCAGGAGACGAGGAAAACCAGGAGCAAGATGACGTAGCTCGCAACCAGGATGATCAGGTTCAAGGTGACAGGGTCGATCTCCAGGTAAAACTCCATGACTTCCCTCGGGGTTGGGGAGCGGGTCCAGAAAAAGGCCACGGGGCCAGTTTGGGGATTGCAGGGAGCAGACCCCAGAGCGTCAGAATAGCTACATTGGCTCTGAAGCAAAAATACACGGATCCCCGGGGCTCTAGGAGACCTCACGGATTACAGCTGCTCGGTTTAATAACTTAAGCTCTTGCCATTAATACCACCGTCACCAAAGCACAGACACTGTCTCTCATCAGTTCAGCTAAGCAGGGAAAGGGAACAGGAAACGAGATGGCCTGAGAGTTAACCAAGCATAGTGTCCACACCCTTTATCTTCCAGGCAGGCCCTGTGGGGAGCGAAAGTAAGTGATGTCACTCAGCTCACCACGAGCCAGTTGGCTCGCCCTGGAAAAGTGTGAAGAACGGCCCCCTCTTATAGGAGGGAGGTTTAAATGCCACCTATCTGTATATGGAGCACTTGGCCATCAGGTCCCTGGGCTTTGGGAATAAATGTGCTCCTTTAATTTAGGAGTTCCTTTAATTTAGTTAAGAGGCGGATACCTAGGGCCTGCCATTTCCATCTTTTCTTCATTTGTTGGTTTTCAGAGTTCATTAATTCAAAGGCACTTTTTGAGCCCCTCCTGCATTCCAGGCACTGTGCTAAGCAATAAGAAGAGAAGCGTTTAGTCCAGCAGGGAAGACAGGTATTGAACAAATAATTGCATGGTTGCCATTTAAGAACCATGGGCATAAATTTATAAAGCACAAGGAGGGGTGACCAGGAGAGTGTGTCCCAAAGGGGGTCAAAGAAAGCTTCCCTGAGGAAGAGATGTTTAACCTCTGACCTGAAGGACTGGCAGAAGTGAGCTAGGTTAGGACCAGTGGGGAAGAGCGTTCTCACCACAGAGAGCAGCCTTTGTGAGAGACCTGAGCAGGGAGAAGCCTGGGAAACTGGAGGAATTGAAACAAGGGCCATGTGACTGGAGAGAAGAATGAGGAGCCTAAGGGACGAGGGGTCAGATTGCAAAGGGACTGGTGGGCCACCCTGGGGACTTGGCTCTTGATGGATCCTGGAGCGGTGGGTGCCACTGGGCCATTTCATGCAGGGGAGCAACGTGGTGTTATTTGGATGTTAAAGGGCACTTTGGCTGCTGCGTGGAAACAGGAAGATAAGCTGATGGAACGACAGATCCGATAGAATACAGGTGTTCCTTGATTTTTAAATCATCATGCCACCTCCATTGCAGCCCTGGCCCAATAGTCCTGGAGAGAACCAACTGCATGATAGTGGCAAGGGGACCCATGCTCAGAAGGACCCCCCCTTCACCCCCCCCACTGGGGTTGATACTCTGCTGTCACCATCTTGAAATTACCCAGAATTTTTAAATTTTGCACTGGCCTCACAAATTATGTATCTGGCCTTGGCCTCTTTGGCTACAAAGGACCATTTCTCCAAGAGCTAATGGGACTCTTTGGAGCAAAGGTCAGAACTCCCAGAGGTTTGCCAGTTTCTTATGCTCATTAAGATTTAATGGCCTAGCAGCTTCTGGTTTGGCTCCTTTATGCCCAGCTCCACGGGAGCCCGAGTGTTTGGGGATGCTGCAGAGAGGACTTCTTATTGATCTGGAGGCCTTTGTCCAGCAACATATTCCATGATGTTGTGGTCCTGGACTAACCTGTGGAATTATACTCAAGAAGATGAGTGGTTCCCAAACACCCCAGGTTTAGGGCCAGCCTCGCTGCAATCAATTGGACTTCTTTGGAAGACAGATTCTGGGATCAGACCCAGACCTGTTTGGAATTAGAACCTTTGAGGCTGGAGTCTGGGAAGCTGCACTGGACCCTTCTGATAGGCACCCAGGGTTGAGAATCGTGGCCACAGGTGAGAGTGAGGACATATAGGAAATGGACTGCCACAGTCTTGGTTGGCTGCCAAGAGCAGTCATAGAAGGTATTCAACACAGCATTCAGCATTATCCACATTCTGAGGCCAACAGTCTTGTTAGTTCACTTTGTCAGGAGGAATCCTTTTCCTGGTGGCAATTTGCATTTACCAAGCACATAGGAGACTAAATTTAGAACAGAATACCAGCATATGAAGTTACAGTGAGAAATATAACTGTCACAGGTCAGGAGGGCTTATGCTGGAATGAGTTATGTGTGCACCAGTTAATTACTTTCTGATGCCTACTCTGCACTCTGGATTCTTGACTTCCGTAGCAAACTGATGTCTGCATGGTGCAGGTTCTACCATCTAACAATATTTTAGGAGCACTCTCTGATGACTTGAAATTGATGACACAAGGACTTGCTAAAACTGACTCTGAAATGAGAACTGGGTACATTTTGGTCTTCAAAATTAAATTGAGAGATTAAACTGAGAACTTAAACTAAGAGATACATGCAGCAACTCTGTTCTATCAGGTGGAGTTTTCCCATCAGCTCCAGGTTTCTCTGTGTGACAGTGATAACCCGTCATCGTACTGGCTGGTCCGGTCTGGCCTCCTCTCTGCAGGTGGGCTGATTATCTCCACGGTGCCCTAGAATATTTTGTTCAAGGCTATTGTTTTTGGATCAGTATCTTGTTGCTATCTGCAAAGGTTTTTTTTTTTTTGTCTTTGTACCTACCTGTGCTCAGAGGTCATTGAAGTCCAGCCTTGTGGAGGCTTTGATTCCTTCCAACGTGTTGAGTGAAATGTTGGCTATTTGTTGTGCTTAACTAACTCCTGGGTGGCGCCTCTCAGGAGCATCTTTCCTTTTTTCAAGAAACTTTCCTCTTGCACCATCTAGCGGCCACAGCAGAGACAGCGAAGTAAAGAACAAAAAGTTGTCATAAGACGATTTGGAACAATAACTTCTAATCAGCTGGAGAGGGGGACATAGGTAATAACCACAAGCCGCATTTCCAAACAGCCCCTTGAGGTAGTCGGGAATAGTCCGTCCTTCACCTCTTTACAGACCTGTACTGTGCCCTTGCCCTGTGCTGGCAGGGGGCTAGGCCCTTTGGAGCTTGAGGATGCGGTGAAGACCAAAACTGTGCTAGGTGGCCAGGGCTAGCCCCAGTGAAGAGAGGAGTTATGAACCCTACTGTAGAAAGAGGAAAGCGAGTTCAGAGAGGCGATGGAATTCTAGTGAGCCGATTCTCATTCCTTTTCTCCCTCTCTCCTGCCCATCTGTTTTCTACTGACTGAGATATAAGCCAAATACCTACAGAGAACGCCCTATGCTCTGTGCTCTGGGGCATTCAAAACCCCATACGGCCGCTATTCCACGGGTCCCCAGTTGTATACATATGTACGTACACTGCGGTCCGTTCTGTCTGCTGACCTGGAACGTCTCTGAAGAATGCCAGATAGACCTGTGCTGTCTGCCGATGCATTTCTAGGCAACACGTCAGTGCAACTAGAGCTTATTCTTTAAAATGCCCACATGTTTTTGTGTTTTAACTATTCTAGATATGAATTCGTTTCTAATGTTACCCTGGGCCTTACACCCTCAACCAAATGCAATGCCCCAAATGTCTCAGTACAGTGTACGTTTTAATAACTTTGGAGGCTGAAATGTCACGAGCTTGCAAAAAAATAATTGTTAAGTTTAGTTATGTTACAGCTGAGGGTGCTGAAGCTCAAGGAAGCGACTTGCTCAGGGCCAACAGATGGTAAACGACAGAAAGAGGACTTTAAGCCAAGCTTTTTAAATTCTAATCTAATGCTTTGTTCCCTGGAGCTACTGTCTAGATAGAGGGGAAAGTGAAGGAGGGCTTGGCAATATAGACACTGGAAAAGTGACAGTGGCAAGAGCCACAGGCTGTATTTTCAAAAGGCCACCAGACCTACGAATTGGCACTAAGAGAACCTGACTCCCCTCCCAACCCACTGCTCCTTTCGAGTTCCCAGTCAGAATCTAGAGAGCTGCTCATCCCGGAGCTTCTGGAAAAACACTGTCACATTTTAATCATAGAAAGACTTCAAGACATTTTTCTACCTGGACTGGATTGGATAGAGTCTCTCTCCAAATACCCACCTACTTGGAAACTCAGAATGTGTCTTGGTTTGGAAATAGCATTTTTTGGCAGATACAATCAGTTATGAAGAGGCAGATAAGGGGGGGGGGTCTTAAATCCAATGACTGGGCTCGTTCTGTGATGGCCGTGTGAAGACAGGGACACACAGGGAGGAGAGTGGCGAGTGAAGATGGCAACAGAGATTGCAGGGAGGCACCCGGAAGCCAAGAAATTCCAGGGGTTTCTGGTGACCACCAGAAGCTAGGAGAGAAGCACAGGACAGATTCTCCCTCAGAGCCGGTAGAAAGAACCAACCCCGCTGATACCTGGATTTCCGACTTCTAGCCTCCACACTGTGAGAGAATACATTTCTTTTTCTTCCAGTGACTCAGCTGGTGGTACTTCATCAAAGCCGTTGTAGGAAACAAATCCATCACCCATCTGCTGCTTATATAAGAGCAGGTAGGGCTTGGAGCAAACTGTAAGGTATACTAAGCTCCTTTAGACCTCCCTTTACTTTCTTTGGGCATTTGTCCCTTCTGCTCCATGGCCTGGTTCCTGGTTGCTTCTTCTTACCTGTGGCTCCGTGAACAAAATGCCTGAGATAAAAGAAAATTCCTGCATGTGAAATTTAGTTCCACAGAAACAAAACACAAGACCTTCAGTTTCAGACAGCAGCGGGCTAGCAATCCCTGATCTAGCCTTTTGTGCCTTCCCAGTAAAATTCCTTGGAAGACAGGAAGAAAACCATAAAAACCTACAAAAGAAATGAACAACGGTGTAGTAGGGGGTAATATTTTTCAGAATCGAAGGCATTGCTGCTCCCCTCTCCCCTTCCCAAGAACGGTTTGAACGCATCCTTCATCATCAGGACTCTAAAAGTGGGGATTCTCGGGAGAGACACACCTGAGAGATTCAGAGTCACTGTATGTGAGCTCCTTTGTAGATTTCTGTAATTTGACACCCAGGTCCACAGACTTGGAGCCAGGCATTGTGGGAAGAGTGAAGGCCACTGTTAAAATGATAAAAATTTGGCTATGTGTATCAAAAGCATAGAATTTATACCCCAGGCCAGAATACAGGAAAGAGAAAGTGAAGAATGCAACTCTGCTGCTCTTCAGGCAGTAAGAAGAGTAGAGTGAAATGGGAACCCCAAGGGC